GAAGGAAGGAAGGAAGGAAGGAAGGAAGGAAGGAAGTAAGTCTGGCTGGCTTCAGGCTGTAGAGCGACACAGAGGAGTGAGGGCAATGTCAACTAGTTTTACAAGATACAACTCACAGTGGTACACATAAAGTTGTTTTCTACTGAATTGGATCATTGGTCCATCAAGGTCAGTATTGTCTACGCAAAATGGCCGCAGCTCTACAAAGGCTCAGGCAGAGTTCTTTCACATCACCTATTTCCTGATTCTTTGAACTAGAGTTCCAGGGAATGGACCTGGAACCTTCTGCATATCAAGCAGATGTTCTGACACCGAGTCATGGCCCCTACCCAATACCATGCCAAATAGATGTCACAAATGGCACAGGTGGGAAAGCAGCATGCCCAACATGACAACTGCTTTTAATACAGAGTATTATAGTCATTCATGGCATAGTAATCAACCACCTTCTCCCAATTCTAAGCTGAAAGTAAAATAAATTATTGCCCTGTACTCTGTCTTACCCTTCCAACAGCCCTTTGAGAGAGGTTTCATTGAGACCAGGGGACTAGCCCAAGTTCCTGCAGCAAGCTTCAAGGTTCTATCATGGAGTCTCAAACACATGTGATGAATAGAGGTTCCCCCTGCCATGCTGAAATATACTACTGCACAAATTCCAAATAGCTCATTACATTTCTCACTTTGAATTGCAAACAAATCTTCAAAGTAATTAAAGAAGATGCTGTTTTTTTGGTAATTAGTTATTTCAGGCCAAACATACGCTGAATTTTAATTGCATTTTGTGAAGTTCTCAGAATCCCTGATTTGCAAGCTTGACCAACTCATGAAAATAAACTAAGAAAGTCATGGACGGATGATGAGCATGAAGTGAGAATCCACATTCCCCCCCCCCCAAAAAATTAATGTGTTTGATTACTCATTGTACGATTTGTGTTGTGTTGTTTCACTTTGTACTCACATGTTAATGGCAATACACACATTTTATTTGGGAAGGTGTTACCTGCCAAGGATGGAGATCATGAAGGTCAACTTTTTTGCTACCATCCACCATTGATCTGTGGTTGGACCGGGACAGATACATGTCATGCAGAGCATGTGCTATGGCATAGACTGCATTATAGATGCTGTAGCTGTGGCCAGTCATCTGCATCTCAAAAACAGGCCCAGGAAGGCTTTCCAGCTTCTCCTCCCCAGTACAGGTTTCATTAATCTGTGATGATTCTTGGGGATGTGGAAGTGGACAGTCAAATGCTTGTTCCCAGAAATCTTTGAGAAAACCATCTCCTTGTATCGAAAGAGGGTTAATGTTTTGAAGAAATTTCTGGAATCTTGTTAGCTCTTGTGAGTGAGCTGAGAAGAAGATTGCACCCTGGAAGAATTCCAGACCCCATGCCCTTTGAAGACCCGCTAATCCAAAATCAGCTTGAGCTGTCATAATCCACACCCTTCTAAAAGAAGTGTTTTCCAGCAATTCAGTATTACCTACATATAGAAATGCATTCAGTGACATAATAGTACTTGATTCTCCATAAAGGATAAATGTATTGGTTCTGTTATCCCTTAAAGATGGATATTTATTGAAAAATTGGTCATATAAATCATGCCAGTTACTCCAACGACCTTGGGTTACAATCATTTCTGTGAAGGATACACAAATTCCACACTGGAAAAGCAATGGCTCCATTTCCTGGATGAAATGTTCTCCACTATCATCAGTTACGGCGAAAAGCCCGACCCACGTCCATCCAAAGTGCTGAAGTAACCGGACAATCCCTGTGTACTGATGGGCTTCACTGGGAACCATGCGATAGAAGGAAGGGGACTTAGTGTTGTTCCTGTCCACTGGGGGAAATGACCCATATGTGAGCTAAAAAGAAACAAGGAGAAATGTTTGAAATGCGTGATCAGGTACATCTGTTACAGTTTACCACTGAATGTTCTGAAAACAGGAGCAATTTGTGAGTAATAGTTATGGGGGGGGTTAATCTATTAAAAACACTTTCTGTTGCATTTCCACCATGACCCCATCTCCCATTTTGGAAGAAGTCTCCATTTAATTGTATTTCTTTGAGCTCAAGAAAACATTGCATTTTTTTCTCAGAGACATCTCAGTCTCCTTCTGAGCCACTCCCAGTAATAGAAGCATTTATATGTCAAAACGTTTCATTCTTCCATGCACACAGCCTACCTGTGGAATTCTATAGAGAGCTAGAATGTCTGCCATGTGGAAGGAGACATCAGACCCCAGACCCCCTATGACGGCCATTAGATTTTTCTGCACATCACATTCATAATTTGGACAATATCTATGGAATTTATAGAGTAGGTCCAGAGTGGTTCGGTAGGTCATCATATCATCGTTGTAAGTGTCATAGATGTGGAACCCAAGAGTGACATTAGGCAAGATCTTTGGATCCATGTTGATCTCATCTACCGTAAATGCCAAGGCCAGGGGGTGCTGGTAAAACTTTGTTGCCATTCTTTAAGAAAAGAAATAAATGCTTTTTGAACCAAATCACTTAATGACATTTTAATATATTCTACTTCAGTGCTAATTATAAGGATATAATTTCAAGTTACTGAGAAGTCTGAACATGATTTTTCTCTTCTTCATCCCAAACAGTTCTCATTATGTATTAGAATACTATTTCTGTCCTAAAGAGTACTTTGAAATGCTACAGGAAACATCCTAGGCAGGTCTACTCAGGAGTAAGCTTAAGTGATTTAATGGGTTCTCCCATGAAAGTGTTTTAGGAAAAGCTTGTTTATGGATAATACTATTTAGAACCATTTAGTACCGTTTTTGTATGTTTGCTTAGCTTGCTTCATCTATTATACTATTTCCCAAAGTAAATTATTGTCCCATTTTTCTTTCATTTATCTCTTCCAATTATACATAGATCTGAATCCAATAACACCTTAGCAGAGTCAAAGCTCCCTTCATCATAGACCAAGGGGCCCTTGATTCTCCAGAAGTTTATATCCTGGAAGTCTTGTTGGTCCCTCAGGTGATAACGGGACTCAAATCTAACTCTTCTTCTGCATACCAACATGGCTGCTCTCTGAAACTATCTTCTGATTACAGTGATTTAAATTTATATAAAGCTAATTTATTTTAGATTTTAGATTTCGAAAGTGTGATTAATACCACCATAAGAAAACATGCATATGACATGTAGAGAGGAAAAAAACAAAACAACATTCACCCCATGCAGTATATGTTGCTGCCTTCTCGGTGTAGCATTAAAAGAAAAAGTAGGTAACATTTTACGATCTCATATCTACAGTGGCCTCTCCCTTTGACAGAGGCATGAAGAGTTGAAGTAATCTGTTTTGCATAGTTCTCGGATGAAGGGGGGGAAGTATTGGCTGTCTGGGGAACTAAACAGTCAAGTAGTAACGTAACACTTGATGTTACATGAAAACAAGTGTGGACATGCCACTATTCACAACCTTATTTTCAATTTGAGGATCTTTCCTTGAGCGCTTCAACCAGAATACACATTGATTCTATGGAGAGCGTTTGAGTAGTCTAACACATCACTACAGGAGACAAAATCCTTTATGTGCTGCAAATAGATTGGTTCGATTCAGAAAGGAACTGGAAAAGGCAATGTGCTGGACTGGATCTATTGTCCAGGTTCTTTCAGAAGTCTGAAAACATATATAATGGCTTAGAATCACAATAAACATGAGAAAAAATATAATTAAATTACTCTGTGCCTTCAAGGATCTCGTGAGAAGCGTATTTCACAAACGTTAGTTCACGTACATGGTAAATGAACTGAGAAACAATACCACCGATGAGGATGTCTCCTGGCTGGTACCATTCATGAGGAATAGGGATCTCTTTTTGGGTGCACTGTATCCTATCAACTTTGCACACAGTGCAAGGCTGAAGCACCAGCAAAACTAGTAACTTCAACATCTGCACAGAAACCCTTGTTTCTAAATCCAACCTCTCCTCTCTCTATAGCATCAAGTTATCTCAATCAAGCTCTCCTAGACATTGGCCGAGTCTGATCATGTATGTCTAAAGGCAAATATATGGCTTTGTCTTATGAGTGCAGAGATTCAGAATGGCCGTGGTAGTGCCAACACTCTGGTTTCAAGTCCTCCTTTTAGCAAAGCAAAAGGTTAGAGATCCAAGTGACAGAGCCCATCTTCCAGAATTCAGTCACACAAGACTATTGCAGTAATCATTATTAAAACTGCTGCCTTGTTATGTTTGCACATTCTGAAAAGCCACCGCGATCTTGGCCAAATCGATAAATTACAGTAATCTGGATAATTCCAGTGGGAAATAAGTATGTCTACAGAGTGGGTGTTCCAAGTGGCAATGTTAGTAGCAAACATGTATTTCCCCCCACATCTGAGCACACAAGTCCCATCTGCTCCCAAATGGCTCAAACTTGATTCTGGCTTTCAGACTTCCCTGGTGAGCAAATACCTTCCAGACAGTTACTGTCCATGAAGAAGCCCTTTGTTGGATTATTAGAGGCACGAGGCCCTATGTCATTTCTGTGGGGTTCCTTTCTAAGCATGCTTGCTTAGAAGTACATCCAGGACAATTCAATGGAACTAAGAGAGGAATCCTAAACAGGTCTATTCAGAATCCTACTGGTCCACAGCTGCTTAATGTTTCTCACTGCATCATTCCTCAGTGAAAGTCCACTCTTGAAGACCAGTTTCATTAAGTTGAGACATTCTTTTTTATTCATTTTATGGAAGAGATCTCTATGCCATCTCTCCCAAGCACTGCTCAAATGAGCTTAAAATTAAAATAATAGATCATCAAAAAAATTCCATGAGACCATGAGAAAGTATTTTAACTTTGGATAAAACTAGACATAAAGGAAACGTCAGGAAATTCTTCAAACTAACTATGCCCGCTTCCCCAAATACTGTTCCAACAATGAGGACCTCGTTAATTTGATTTGAAAGACTTGAATGTCGCAGCCAGGCTACTGATGTGTCTCCCTAGATGGGAGCACATCCAGCCTGCGGTGAAGGCACTGCACTGGCTGCCAGTAGCATACCAAATTCATTTCAAGGTGCTGGTACTTACCTATAAAGCCCTATATGGCCAGTGTCCAACATACCTGAGGGACTGCTTTTCCCCATATATTCCCCAGAGCACACTATGGTCGGGGTGTAACACTGACTGGTTATCCCAGGCCCCTGGGAGGCCAGGCTCACAGCTACCAGAGCCAGGGCCTTTTCAGTGGTGGCTCCTTACTGGTACAATGAGCTCCCGGAGGAGATCACGGCCGTGTGGGATCTTGTGCAGTTCCGCAGGGCCTGCAAGACAGAGCTCTTCCACCAGGCCTTCAACTAGGAGCCGCCCACCACTAACATCAGTGGCCACTATTAATATCTGTGGCATAGGCCAGCCGCAGTTGAGATCGAGCCATACAACCTTGAAGAACCAGAGACTGCTGAGTGGACGCCATCTTGTCTTAATAACTACTGTATGCACTGTATGCACTTTAATTGAAATGTGTTGATTGTTTTAAATGGCTTTAAATGATTTATATGAATCTTGCCACATTGAGCCAAGCAATGTGAGCCGCCCTGAGCCCACTTGCGGGGAGGACAGGTTATAAATGTAACAAAATAAATAAATAAATAAATAAATAAATAAATAAATAAATAAGATGCCATATTTAATTCCTAAGCATGTGTATTCAAAAGTAAGGCCAGAGGAATTCAGTGAAAGTAAGCAGGCCAGTTTGGTAGTGGCTTGGAGTGTGGACTCTAATCTGGGAGAACTGTTTGATTCCCCACTCCTCCACAAGCAGCTGCTGGTGTGATCTTGGGTCAGTCACAAGTTCTTTCAGAGCTGTTCTCTCAAGGGCAGTTCTCAGGAGAGCTGTCTCAGCCCCACCTACCTCATAGGGTTCCCAAATCCCCCTCGGGAGCGGAATTCCCCCCGGTTTCGAGCCCCGATTCTCGCTCCCGCGGAATCGGACGCCATTTGAGGGGAAAACTCTTTGTTTTCCCCTCAAATGGCGTGGCCCCGCCCCAGCGTGTGACGTCACTTCCGAGTGACGCTCTGGAAGCACTCGCTTGCAGAGTATTTTTGCAATCTTCAAGTATTTGAAGGGCTGTCATGTGTTTGAAGGGCTGTCATGTATTTGCAGTCTTCAAGTATTTGAAGGGCTGTCATGTAGAAGATGGAGCAGATCTATTCTCTCTTGCTCCGGATTGCAAGACTAGATCTAATGGGTGGAAATTACAAGGGAGTCGTTACCGGCTAAATATCAGGAGAAACTTCCTAAATGTAAGAGTGGTTGAGCAGTGGAACAGTCTGCCTCAGGAGGTGGTGGATGCTCCTTCGCTGGATGTTTTCAAGCAGAGGCTGGACAACCATCTTTCGGGTATGTTCTAGGTATGTTGGTATGTAGGGCTATTCTTTTGCAGAGTGCAGGGGGTTGGACTAGATGACCTGCAAGTTCCCTTCCTACTCTAACATTCTATGATTCTGTGATTATATCAGATGGAATAAGGAAAAGGAAAAAACAGAAAGAAAGGTGTGGAATTACATACTCAACTCACTTCCACTCTTATAAGCCAATAAAATGGCAAAGGACACTTTATTCTCATAGACTGAGGACTGGTGGAGGGAACTAGGAAATCAGGGATTCTATCCTTTTTATACTTTTCCTTTTAAGGAGCATGACCTCTCACACAAGAAAGGGAATAAATGGAGAGATTTTATCAAAGATTTTATCAAAGCCTCTCTGACTGTTCACACAGAGCAAAAGGTGGGGCTGAAGGAGTCCTTTGCCCAGGTCTAGGTCCATTAGTGAGCAAAGCTCTTTATTTCATTTGCAAAGGATTGCAGCAGTTGGGGTTGAAGCTTCTCATGAAACTTGGCATCAATCCAAGAGGTGATGGATTGGAGTCTAATATGGTCTCTGCAAGAAGACGAAGACGGTAGGGGACTTTCATCCATGTAGACTTGTTTATGGGTGGACTAGAAGGACAGAACAGCTGTGGAAATAGAAACCTAGGAAGATGATGTAGTGGCTGTGGGGGGAACCATGGTGGTACCTTTTATAGCAAACATGTTTTCTTCTGCTCATCTGAGCACACCAGTCCCTCTGTTCCAAAGTGGCTCAAACTTTACTGTGGCTTTCAGAGTTCCCTTGTTGAGCAAATACCATCCAAACAGTCGCTGCCCGAGAAGGTTTTTGTCTGATGATTAGAAACACCAAGCCCTTTTTCATTTATGTGGAGCACATTCCAAAGTATGCTTGCTTAGAAATCAATCCAGTGCAATAGAATTCTTAGCTTTGTTAATTCCGTCTTCGTACTAACTGTCCTCTTTGATTCAGCTCAGGCTTTATCAGAATGATGTAGCATTTGGGGGAGAAGATACAGCCCAGTAACCCGGCACTGGAAGCCAAGATAGAGAAGACCTCCACCGCTACCATGTATTTCCCTTTGGTGCTCAGATAGGTTGGGACAAAACACAACCAAACACTGCAAAACATCAGCATGCTGAAGGTGATGAACTTGGCCTCATTAAATGTGTCTGGCAACTTCCGGGCTAGGAAAGCTACGGTCAAGCTGACGAGGGACAGAAATCCCAAGTAGCCCAAAACACTATAAAACATGATGGCAGACCCTTCATTACATTGTGCTACCATCTGTGTATTCAGAGACTTCATGTCTAAATCTGGGTATGGAGGAGACATTCCGAGCCACAGCACACATATGCCTGCTTGAATAAGGGAGCAAAGAAGGACAATGGAGTTGGTTATTCTTTTCCCCACCCATTTCCTCATGCTGGACCCCGGTTTGGTGGCCATGAATGCGACAACCACAGTGATGGTTTTGGCCAAGACACAAGAAACAGCCACTGAGAAGATGATGCCAAAAGCAGATTGCTGGAGGAAGCAGGTCGCCTTGGTAGGTTGTCCAAGGAACAGCAAAGAAGAAATGAAGCAGAGGAAGAGAGAGACAAGGAGAGCGTAGGTTATATCCCGGTTGTTGGCTTTGACTATAGGGGTATCTCTGTGCTTAATAAAAATTCCCAGCACCCACACAGTGATTAGGGAAAAAGAAAGTGCAATTGAAGCTAAACAGATCCCTAGAGGTTCATCAGAAGACAGAAAGCTGATTGTCTTGGGAATGCACTGATCTTTGTCCTTGCTTGGGTACTGATCTTCTGGGCAATTTATACAGTCTTCCATATCTTAAAAAAAAAAAGAAGTTTAGTGCCAAATGTACGTTGGTCCAGTTACATCTGATGGTATACAAACCTGTCCAGTTTTCTTTCTTTCTTTCTAGCTTTCTTGATTTTGATTTCTCACAGCTGGTTCAAAGCCTGGACATCCTAATGTAAAAAGGCATCCACATATTCCAGTACATTAGCAATTGTGATTGTTTCTGTTCATTTTATGTTATAGGTATTAAGGCTAGCTCAGTCTCATCAGATCTTGGATGTTAGGCAGGGTGGCCATGGCTAGTATTTGAAAGGGAGACCACCAAGGTATTCCAGGATTGTGACATGGAGGCAGGGAATGGCAGACCACCTCTAAATGGCTCTTGCCTTGAAAACCCCACAGGGTCATCATAACTCAGCTGTGACTTGGTGGCACTTTCCGCCATCACCGTAGGTACTATAATGTGCATCATATAGTGTACTTTATAATCTTATATATTGTGGACATGAAGTGAAAGCATCATGCTTTAGCCCAATCCCATCAGATACTGGAAGCTAAGCAGGACCCAAACTTGGAAGGGGAGATCACCAAAGAAGACTCTGCAGAGGAAGGCAATGGCAAACCACTTGCGCCTCTGGCTCGAATTGACAGCCCCTTGTTGAGGTCACCGTAAATTGGCTGCGATTTAATTGCATTTTACACACATATTATGCATATGCTAATTATTTGTTGTGCTTATGACATTGTTCATCATTTCTATTTAGACATTTTCAAATCATAAAGCATGTCTGCCAGAATTTTTATTTCTACACGCTACTTGCATCACATCTTGGAAAAGCAAATAGAACCAGGGGTCATTTCCTGCAGGAGCGCACAGGAGCAGTAAAGGGCCCACGGGGTGGGCACATGCAACAAGTCCCGCCCCCTGCTCCCTGCAGCCCTGGGCCACAAGGAGCAAGAAGCAGCCAGGTAAATTGCAACCCTCCCCCCAAGATAGCAATCCAAAAGAGTCCAGTGGCACCTTTAAGGCCAGGGTTTATTCAGGTACAAGCTCTTCCTCCTCTGCGAGGACAGTTCTGCACGTTCCCCCCCCCCCCAATACCTAGCAATCCGAAAGAGTCCAGTGGCGCCTGAGCGGTGGGTGTTGCCTTCTGACACACTTCCAGTGATGTCAGGGGGTGTGGTGTATGCAATTAAGTTATGCTAATGAGCTCCTGCACCTCTTTTTCAATGAAATGACCCCTGAATAGGACCCCCCCTCCGGTAAATGAATAAATAAACACACAGACAGGTTGCACCCATAGGGTTATAAATGTGTGGGTTATGCAAGCCATTCTAAGATGGGCACTTGAGATACATGCATCAGCAAGGAGAAACTCTAATACGTATTAATGATCTTGTCTCTGCCTTGAGGCTCACTTTTTTAATTTAGGATGATCATAATCCTGTCTTCCTATCTGAAGAAGTGAGCAGTGACTCAAGAAAGTTCATACCCTGCCACATTTTTTTTTGTCTTTAAGGTCCTACTGGATTCTTACTCTTTTCTGTTTCTATCCTAAAGTGAGTCTTGTTTCACCTTGGGTTGTAACCTCATCAAAAAAAAAAATTCTTCCCCCTTCTCTTCCTCCTGCCTCATCACACCTACTCCATCTTCATACCTAAAATGCCTGCAATAACATCAACGAACAGCACTATGGCTGTTCGAGACCCACCGTGGCCAGAGTGAGCTCCCGGCCCTAGTCCTAGCTTCCGCCCACCCAGCGGTTCGAAAGCAAGTAAAACCAGAGCAAGTAGATAAATGGGTACCCGCCCTTAGAGGGCAGGGGGCACCCTCCTCTGTGTGAGGTGTGTGGCGAGAGCACCAGTGGCGGCAGCAGCAGCAGCGTGGCAGCAGCGGAGCAATGGCGAAGCGATCCCTGGTGGCCAGTGGAAGCAACATCGTTTGTGGTGAGCCCGACGACAAATGGAGGAGGAGGAGGAGTCGCAGAGGAGCGTGGCAGCGTGGAGGCGCAGCGAAGCCGGATATGGACGTAGGCTGACTGTGACTGACACAGACCGCGCACCGAGAAGACTGCCGAACCAGAGGAACCTGCTCCTGGACGCCAGAAATGAGACGCCAACCCAGAGGACCACCGGGAGGAAGTAGCCGAGCTGGAAGAACAACTAGCCCGCCACCTGGGTGCCGGTAGGCAGCCCCACCCCCGTACTATATGTGGCCTTAGCTTAGGAATTAATTGTAATTGGAAACTTGCCTGTAAACCTCTCAGAGACCTCCGGGTCCGAGCGGTATATAAATCGAATGCATAAATAAATATATAAATAAATAAAACTGCTCCAGAAGGTGCTCTGGAAGTATTTCAGGCACCAAGCCTTGTTATTTCACCCAGCTTTCCAGGTGGTGTACCCATTGGTTCCTTTTTATGTCCCCCCTGCCATTTACTGAAATTTATACTCACATTAAAATTGCACTCCATTTGAATAGCATCTTTGCCATTGTTTTTAATGCAACCTGACCCCAGAACAGTCTTCAGTCATACCTTGTCAACCCTTAATCTTGGTCCCACAGGTGCTGTGATTTTGATATTGTTCAGGGCAGGTGTCATTTCATAGAAAAAGAAGGAGCTCATTAACATAACTCATTAGCATAACTTATTTGCATATGCTACACCCCCCTGACATCACCGGAAGTGTGTCAGAAGCCAACACCCACCGGTCAGCCTCCACTGGACTGTTTTGGATTGCTAGCTATTGGGGGGGCATGCAGATCTGTCCTCACAGAGGAGAGAGAGCTTGTACCTGAATAAAACTTGTTCTTAAAGGTGCCACTGGACTGTTTTGGACTGGGGGTGGGGCTCTACAACTTACCTAGCTGCTTCTTGCTCTGACTGAGAGCTGCTGGGAGCAGGGGGTTGGGCTTGTTGCATGTGCCCGCCCCCTGGGCTTTTTACTGCCGGAGCTCCACTCCTGTGCACTCCTGCAGGAAATGACCCCTGGTTCAGGGCTCTTTTAGTAGCAGGAATTCCTTTGCATATTAAGAAACACACCCCTAATGTAGCCAGTCCTCGAAGAGCTTATAGTACCCCCTGAAAGAAGAGCTCTGTAAGCTCTGTGAGGATTGGCTACATTAGGGGCGTGTCACCTAATATGCAAAGGAGTTTCTCTTTCAAAAAGAGCCCTGGGTTGTCATAATGGAGGCAGCCTTCCACTTCCTATTCCTTCTGTGTTAGGTGTTTCCTCTAACACTAGACCAATGTGATTCAAGGAGCTCAAAAGTACGCAGTAGAGCATGGGTGGCCAAACTGTGGCTTGGGAGCTCTTTCACACATAGCTGAAGGTGAGAGAGCCCTTGTCTCCCAGAACTTTTAATGACAGTTGGTGTTAGTCGCCAAAAGGACAACCGCAAGAAGATCAAGGAACCAACTGTAAGACGAGTGGATTGTGGCCTAGGTCACACGGCACTGTAAATGCGACTTGTTCCCGCTTTAATTTAAACGGGAATATTTTGTTCCGATTTTGCATGTTTACACCACCCCTCAAGAGCCATCCCTCTTACCAGCTGCTTGCTATCCCCCTCGCCCTCGTCCCCATCCGGCGACAGCAGCAGCTGCTCCTGGGCGGCCGTGGGGCCGTCCTTGCCATTGGCCCAGTCACCACCGGCCTGGCATGCTTCTTCCGGCACTTCTGGGCAGCCAGGAGGTTGAGGCCCAGCAGGAAGGTGCGCGGTGTGGGCCGCTTTAATGTGCTGCTCGGGCGCCGTCTCCGCCACCTGTTTGCCACCCCCATCCAGGCTGCTGAAGCCCCCACCTCTCATTCCTGCCTCCACCAGGATGCTATAAGCACTGACATTTTTTTAAAAAAATAGATTTTTTAAGCGCATGTATGTCCAGGCGCTCAAACTGGAAGCTAAAACAAAACAAAACCAGAGAGTGGTCAGACGGCCCTATTTGCAATCATTGCTAAATCATTGTGAAAGAGGGCTGTCCATATAGGTGAAATCGCGCATTCAAAGCACGAGATCCAGGAAAGTACTCAATTTACCAGGGGTCAGGAAAACCCGCGAATATTGCGAGAGTGAGCCTGCTAGGAGGTCAGCCCATGAGGAAGGTGCGCGGCGGGGGCCGCTTTAATGTGCTGCTCAGGCGCCATCTCCGCCACCTGTTTGCCATCCCCATCCAGGCTGCCGAAGCCCCCACCTCTCGTTCCTGCCTCCACCAGGATGCTGTAAGCACTGACATTTTTTTTAATGGATTTTTAAAGCACCTGTATGCCCAGGCGCTCAAACTGGAAGCTTAAAAAAAAAAAATCCAGAGAGTGGTCAGACGGCTCCATTTGCAGTCATTGTGAAATCATTGCGAAAGAGGGCTGTCCATATAGGTGAAATTGCACATTCAAAGCGCGAGATCCAGGAAAGTACTCAATTTACCAGGGGTCAGGAAAACCCGCGAATATTGCGAGAGTGAGCCTGCTTCGTTGCGGGAGGTGGATTGGCGCATGTGAACAGAAACTTTAAATGCAGGAGGAAACAGCAGTGAATCCCGATTGAAGGGACAGTGTGACCGCACCCTGTGTCATCACAGCCATAGGGAATTATTGTTATTAGCACACTATTGAGCTGCATAGTTTAAATGATTTTAGAATTGTTTTAATTCAAATTAGTTACGTTTTGTTGTAAATTATGTATTGATTTTATGTAAGCCGCCCTGATCTGGCTTCGGCTGGGAGAGCGGGGTAAAAAAATCCAATAAATAAATAAATAGTGTGCAGCTCCCGTTGGGGCGGCTGGGGAAGGGAAGGCAGAGCATGTCTCCCCAACCGGTCTTCCCTTCCCCATCCAGTGTTCTCCTCCCTGGACAGCCTTGAGTGGGGAGGGGGGAGCAGAGAAAGAAAGCAACTTAAACTTTAAATCCCCCCGGCCGGCTAGGAGAAAGCATTTGTCTCTTTAAATATTATTATCAATATCTGTTCTTTAACCCCTTTTGTTTTTATTTCTGGCCATGTTTTTGATGTAAATGTTAATAAAAAGCAAATCTGCATATTTCCCAATAAAAACGTGTAATGTTTCTTCATGTCTTGCGGCTCTCAGACATCTGCTGTTTCTTCAACGTGGCTTTTACGTTTAGCAACTTTGGCCACCCCTGCAGTAGAGGACTATCTGGCATTCTACAGGGCAATGCACAAGATGAAGTAAAGCTTAGGAGCCAAGCCAATGCTTCTGTTATTTTGTTTTAAATATAGGCTGGAAGAACCACGAATGTAGTTTCATGAGAAACTGGAACACTCAGATGGAGCACATGTCTGTGAAATGTCTTGCCGTCCTTCCCTACTGTCTCCTAAAGTGTGATTCGCACATGCATGGATTTCACTTGAGTTCTCCTTGCTTATGAATCTCAACCAATTGGTGGAATTGACACTTCTGAAAAGGACAGCATTTCTCAGATTATTATTTTTTTTACCGTTATGAGAAATTTGCCAAATTTCTAAATTGGATGACAGTGTCCATTGTCATTTGGACACATTCGTCAGTTACCACTTCAGAAATAAGTTCATATGCTGGAGTAACTGGGAAGCACTGCATTACCTACCTTTCTGGTTTGAAATCTTTCCCTCTGGGCAAGGAACACAATCATAGCAGCAGAATAGCTCCTTATCCCTCTTTTTCTTATGATAACCAGGATGGCAGCGGTCATTGCACAGTGAAATCGGCACAACCTATCCAAAAGCAATAAAGTTCTTTAGGGCAGAACACATTATATATTTTTTTAAACTGACAGCGGCCATTGTAGTTTTGGGGAGTGGTATTCCCCCCCAAAAAAAATCACTTTTTTTTACATATAGGCATTGATTCCTCTTATTTTCTTTTTAAAAAAGATTGTCCACTTGTTTTCTCTTTGATTTTTCCTTATACCTCTCTGTTATTCATGTATGCACCAGTGTTTCCTCTAAGCTGAGTTAGTGTTAGCTAGTTCACAGTTTTTATCCTATGGCTCACACGTTTGTCTTAGCTCAGAAGGATGGTTCCAGAGCAAACTAATTTATGCAGTAGCCAAATTGCTCACTCACAACTTCAATGCCAGTAGTTCACAAAGTAGAACTTTGCTCACAAGACTCCACAGATTAGAGGGAGCATTGGTATGCACCTGTTTGTAACTTCAGCTCTTGCAGCTTTTTTGTTAAAGTGACAAATCACCAGGTTCACACACTCTTTTGGTCTCGTCCTGGAACCACTGGGCAGCTGGCTTATTGTCTCAGACTAACAGACAGGGATCCTTTCTTGTTCTTGCCTTCAGCTAGCACCAAAAGACTTGTACCTCCAGCCATGCAACTGTTGCATGAAGCTCAGGATGAGGGTTTTACCATAGGCAGCGATATTCTGGGGGGGGGGAGTGATTCTTTCATAAACCAGCCAATTTTAAGTAAAGATACAAAATATAATTAACAATGTGTAGCCGTATAGAACATAAACAAAATTTGTTTAAAAATATAGGAGTAGAGATCGTCAACACTTTTATTGCTATATCCTTTTGCAAGTGAAACATGACCTTTGGTTCATAGCATAATCAGCTCATCCACAATAGTAATCCCGGTATGCAGAAAAGGAGATCCCCCAAGCTTGAATTAACCAGCGCAGTAATGGAGGAGCCTGTAAGAACATCCTAGAATACACACCTGGTTAAAGCGACTCTGCCACTGAATGCTGTTCTCATCAATGAGCAATTCTTTTCCTTCCAAATAATCGGGACCCACCTTTCCTATTTTCACTTTATTATAAGACTTGTTTGGGAATGTGACCAAGTTCATGACATCAAAGCCACCTCCTATTTCTGTATTATAATTAAAAGACACGGTTTCTCCTGCCGAATTGTTAAATGAAATACGTTGAAGATATTGGTGGAGCTAAACGGGGTGGGAAAAAATGAAAAGATAACATCATGTTGGAGATTTCTGTTCTGAGCTATATAAACAGCTTTGTTTGCTGATAAAGTTTCAGTTGGAAATTTCAATAAAGAAGAAATTTTTTTTCTGTTGTAGGGGGGAAAAGGAACCACAAACAGATCACTGGGGTAGAGGTGAAAGACAGCAGGGCCAAAATAACAACTGCTTTGAAAAGAGAGAGCAAAGAGTGTCTCAAGGCACAGTAATCAATCAACTTCTTCCAGATCTTTGCAAAGAAGGGAAGAGCTATATAGATCGTTATCCCCTACTCTGTTCTACCCTTAAAGCAACCGCTTGAGATAGGTTTGACTGACAGCAAGTGATTAGCCCAAGTTCATACAGCAAGCTTCACGGTACCATCAGAATTTAAGCCCAGGTGTCCATAATATACTTTTAGTCCAGCATATACATTTCATGGACTCTAAACATGCAAGATCATGAATAGGGGTCCCATTGGCATGCTACATGATACTCAAAATATTTCTTTCTATTCAAAACAAAACTTTGGAGGAATTAAACAAGAGGCTTCATTTTTTAAAAAAAACATAAACTGAAATGCTGGCCGTTTTTTGTTTCTTTTTATGATGTTTTCAACTTCCCTGATTTTCAAGCTTGACCAACTTATGAAATTTAGGTAAGAAATGTTTGAATCGATGATGAACAGGAAGTGACCATCTGAGTTGTTACCCCCCCCCCCAAAAAAAAAGATTAATGTGTACAATTACTCATTTCTGTCTATGAGTTTTGTGGAAAGTCTCACTGTGTACTGACATGTCCATGGTAATACAGATATTTTCAAGGTGTTACCTGCCAAGGCTGGTGGTCATGAAGGACATCTCTTTTGCCAACACCCACCATTGATTGGTGGTGGGAGCGGGATAGATACATGTCATGCAGAGTATGTGCTATGGCATAGACTGCATTATAGATGCTATAGCTGTGGCCAGTCATCTGCATCTCAAAAACAGGCCCAGGAAGACTCTCCAGCTTCTCCTCCCCAGTACAGGTCCCATTAATCTGTGATGGTTCTTGGGAATGTGGAAGTAGACAGTCAAATGCTTGTTCCCAGAAATCATTGAGAAAACTATTTCCTTGTATCAAAAAAGGTTTTATGTTTTCAAGAAATTTCTGGAATCCTGGTAGCTCCTGTGAGTGAATTGAGAAGAAGATTGCACCCTGGAAGAATTCAAAACCCCAAGCTCTTTGAAGGCCCGTTAGTAGAAAATCAATCTGGGCTGTCATAATCCATACCCTTCTAAATGAGGTATTTTCCAGTAATTCATGATCACCTAGGTATAGAAATGTGGTCAGCGAAATAATGGTCAGAGTTTCTCCATAGAGGATAAGTATATTGGTTTTGCTATCTATTAAAGCTAGTTGAACTTCCGAAAACAAATCTATAGCGTTAGCAAAGGTATTCCAGCGGCCTTGTATTACAATCATTTCTTTGAAGGCCACACAAATTCCACACTGGAAAAGCAATGGCTCCATTTCCCGTATGAAATGTTCTCCACTATCATCAGTTACGGAGAAAAGCCCGACCCACGTCCATCCAAAGTGCTGAAGTAACCGGACAATCCCTATGTACTGATGGGCTTCATTGGGAACCATGCGGTAAAAGGAAGGGGACTTAGCGTTGTCCCTGTCCACTGGGGAAAATGACCCATATGTGAGCTAAAAAGGAAACGAAGAGAAACGTTTGAAATACATTATCAGGTGCATCCACACCTGTTTAGCAATGAAGATTCTTAAAACAAGCAATGTGGTTTAATCTCTGAATGGGGGTTCTGAGGGGGGAATCCACTAAAAGCACTTTGTATTGCATGCCCGCCACCATCCCATCTCCCACTTTGGAGCAATTTTCCATTTGTCTTTATTTCTATGTCTACAAGACAAGATTTTATTTTATTTTCTCAGATAAGTCTTTCTGTACGGCAGTTTGAGACCCTAGTGCCGCGTGATGGAGTGAGCTCCCGTCTCTGGCCCCAGCTCCTGCCAACTCGCAGTTTGAAAGCAAGAAATTGCAAGTAGATAAACAGGTACCACTTCAGTGGGAAGGTAACAGCATTCCTTGTGCCTCGATGTTTAGTCATGCCGGCCACATGACCATGGAGAAGTCTTCAGACAGTGCTGGCTCTTCAGCCTGGAAATGGAAATGAGCCCTGCCCCCTAGATTTGACAAGCTCTCAAACAAGGGAAACCTTTACCTTTACTTCTGAACCACTCCTAGTAAAAAAGGCATTTACATGTCAAACACTCTCCAATTTCTTAATGCATACAGCCAATGTTCCCTCTAAGCTGAGGAGTCTTGTGAGCAAAAATTCTACTTTGTGAGCTAATGGCATTACAGTGGTGAGTGAGAGATTTGGTTACTGCATACATTAGTTTGCTCTGGAGCCATCCTTCCTGAGCCAAGGCAAAAATGTGTGAGCCGGAGCCTAAAAAACTGTGAGCTAGCTCACACTAACTCAGCTTAGAGGGAACACTGCATACAGCCTACCTGGGGAATCTTATAGAGAAGCAGAATGTCCACCATGTGAAAGGAAACATCAGAACCAAGTCCACCTATGATGGCCATTAGGTTCTTCTGGACGTCACATTCATAATTAGGAAAATATCTACGGAGTTTATAGAGAAGATCCAGAGTGGTGCGGTAGGCCATTTTATCATCATTGTAAGTGTCATAGATGTGGAACCCAAGTGTGACATTAGGCAAGATCTTGGAATCCGTGTTGATTTCATCTACCGCAAATGCCAAGGCCAGAGGGTGCTGGTAAAACTTCATTGCCATACTTTAAAAATAAATAAATAAATGCTTTCTGAACCAAATGACTTAATAACATTTTAATAAATTCTGCTTCAAAGTTAATTATAAGGATATCATTCCAAGTTACTGAGATGTCTGAACATGATTTTCCCTTCTTTATCCCAAGCAGTTCCCGTTATGGATTAGAATACTATTTCTTTCCTAAAGAGTACTTTGAAATGCTAAAGGAATGATTCTAGGCAGGCCTACTCCAGAGTAAACTTAAGTTATTCAATGGGCTTTCCCATGAAAGTGTTTTAGGAAAAGCTTGTTTTGTGCACAGCACCATTTCTTGTATGTTTCTTTAGCATACTCCATCTATTATTTCCCAAAGTAAATTCTTGTCTCCATTTTCTTTCATTTTTCTCTTCTGATTATAGGTAGATCTGAGTCCAGTAACACCTTAGCTACCAACAAGACTTTTAGGGTATAAGTTTTTTGAGCTTCAGAGCTCCCTTCATCATAGACCAAGGGACGTTTGATTCTCCAGAAGTGTATACCCTGAAAGTCTTCTTGGTCCCTCAGGTCCAGCTCTTCTTCTGCAGACCAACATGGCTGCCCTCTGAAACTATCTTTTGATTACAGTACTTTAAATTTATTTAAAAGTAAGTTATTTTATGTGTATCTATAAAATGTCTGTCACACTTTTTTCACAGCAGACTCAAGGCAGTTTAAAACGTTTACTTGTGACCGTTCAGGGAATTTTTCTAAAGCCGACCAATATTTTCACTTTGATTCTCATTTATGTTAACTAAGCCAAACACTTCCTTCACCCACTTCATGCCTTTCAAGCATGGATTTCAGTCCTTGAAAGCAGATGCCACCATAGATGTGAGATCTTAAAGAGCCACCTACTTGTTCGGTTTGCCACACTGAGAAGGCAATGACACATACCACATAGGGTGAATCGTTTTCCCCCCATTGCTTCTTGCTTACCTTAAATGTCCTTTGCTGGGGTCACCATAACTAAGCTGTGACTTGGAGGTATTCTAAACGCTCAACATGTCATTATCCTGATGCATTCCTGATTTTAGATTTAAAAAATGTGACTGTTACCACCATACGAAAACAATTTATATGACATGTAGAGAGAGAAACCATCCACCCCATGTGGAATACATTGCTGTCTTCTCAATGTAGCAAAATAAAAAAGTAGGCAATGCTTTAAGATCTCATACCTTTAATGGCATCTGCATTCAGAAATCAGAATCCCTTTGACAGAGCCATGAAGTGGTGAAATAATTGTTTCGTATAATTCTTGAATGAGGAAGAAAGTATTGGCTGTCTTTGGGAAACTAAACAGTCAAGTAGTAATGTAGCACTTGATGTTACTCAGAAACAAGTGTGGGCATGCCGATATCATAGCTTTATTTTCAGTTCAAGGATCATTGCCTGAGAGATTCAACCAGAATACTACACAACACATTGATTCTATGGAGAGTGTTTGAGTAATCTAACATGTCACTATGGGAGACAAAATCATGTATGTGCTGCAAATCGATTGGTTCGATTCAGAAAGGAACTGAAAAAGGCAGTGTGCTGGACTGGATCTATTGTCCAGGTTCTTTCAGAAGTCTGAAAACAAATATAATGACTTAGAATCACAATAAACATAAGAAAAAATATAATTTAATTACTCTGTGCCTTCAAAGATCTCGTGAGAAGCATATTTCCGAAACTTTAGTTCATGTACGTGGTAAATGAACTGAGAAACAATACCACCGATGAGGATGTCTCCTGGCTGGTACCATTCATGAGGAATAGGGATCTCCTTTCGGGTGCACTGCATCCTATCAACTTTGCACACAGTGCAAGGCTGAAGCACCAGCAAAACTAGTAGCTTCAACATCTGCACAGAAACCCTTGTTTCTAAATCCAACCTCTCCTCTCTCTATAGCATCAAGTTATCTCAATCAAGCTCTCCTAGACATTGGCCGAGTCTGATCATGTATGTCTAAAGACAAATATATGGCTTTGTCTTATGAGTACAGAGATTCAGAATGGCCATGGTAGTGCCAACACTCTGGTTTCAAGGTCAGAGATCCAAGTGACAGAGCCCATCTTCCAGAAATCAGTCACACAAGACTATTGCAGTAATCATTATTAAAACTGCTGCCTTGTTATGTTTGCACATTCTGAAAAGCCACCGCGATCTTGGCCAAATCGATAAATTACAGTAATCTGGATAATTCCAGTGGGAAATAAGTATGTCTACAGAGTGGGTGTTCCAAGTTGCAGTGTTAGTAGTAAACATGTATTTCCCCCCACATCTGAGCACACAAGTCCCATCTGCTCCCAAATGGCTCAAACTTGATTCTGGCTTTCAGACTTCCCTGGTGACCAAATACCATCCAGACAGTTACTGCCCATGAAGAAGCCCTTTGTTGGATGATCAGAGGCACGAGGCCCTATGTCTTTTCTGTGGGGTGCTTTCCTAAGCATGCTTGCTTAGAAGTAAGTCCAGGACAATTCAATGGAACTAAGAGAGGAATCCTAAACAGGTCTATTCAGAATCCTACTGGGGTCTATTTAATGTGGTTTACTCCCAAGGAGTGTTCTTAGGATGGCCTTGGAACTCGCTTCCCAGGGTGCTTCAGCCTGCAGCCTTTTCAGTATTTATATCCATTTGGTCCACAGCTGCTTAATGTTTCTCACTGCATCATTCCTCAGCGAAAGTCCCCTCTTGAAGACCAGTTTCATCAAGTTGAGATATTCTTTTTTATTCATTTTATGGTGGAGATCTCTATGCCATCTTTCCCAAGCTAAGACTTCGATTAAAGGTTGGTTGACTCTAGAAAAAAGAAGACTTCTAAATTTGGAAGGACATAATTTAGTCATGGGATGGCACACGTATATTTGGTATGGAAAACAAAAAATACATAACTTTCAACAACATACTATATGCAGAGCCTTAGTAAAAGTTTGGAAAGAAATAAAAGACCGTCATTATGACAAAATATCTAAATGGGTATCCCCAATGGAAGCTTTTATAAAGCCCACACTACTCACAAAAGACAAAATAGAAAAATATGAAACATTACTGGACATAAACAACACTCTGAAAACTCAGGAAGAACTCTATTAACAAACATAAAACTGAATTGGTGGGAATTTGTGGAACTAACTATGAGGTATAATAAGGACAAAAAAACTGGTTTCCAAGACAGAAAAACAGATCTGGATAAAATCTGGCTATCTTCAAATGACATGATGATACAGAAATTATATAATTATTTACTCCATGAATACCTACAAGATGAGATAGTGAAAGCGCCAGTGATTTCCTGGATGCAAGATTTTGGTCACAATATTGATCTAGATTATTGGTCTAAGATATGGAAAGCAATAAAATTCACTCAAGCAATACCTTACAAGTAAAACATATATTAAATGTTTTTTAGATGGCACTGGTCACCAGACAAAATAGATAAATGTTATACAAATGCCTTGAAAAAATGCTGGAAATGCAAACATAGCATTGGTACTTATTATCACATGTGGTGGAGATGCAGTATAACACAAAAATATTGGGGCAAAGTACATAAATTAATATATGAAACTTTGGATATAGATTTATCAAATACGCCAGAAACCTTTTTTGTTAAATATGTTACCAGATAAATTTTAAAAAAGCCAGATGAATTTGTATTAACATACACGTTAGCATCGGCTCGTGTAATATTTGCTAAACATTGGAAACTAGATAAAATACCTTCAGAGGAAGCGTTGATTCATAGATAGTTGGACATAGCAGAGATGAATAAATTGACATTAATATTACAGGGAAAAGATGACACGTTGTATAGAGAAAGATGGTGCAGATTATATATGTGGCTGGAAAACAAACATTGTAATAGACTCACAATATCTCAATTAAGTTTATGTAACAGATACATCGAGTAATGATGATGTAAAAATTATAAATAAAAATTTGGAAAAAAATGTATAGATGGCTAAACTGTGCCCAAAACAAACCAACTGGAGCATTCAGGCTACCACATAGCATTGTGAGGTGGAGGACCAATTTACTGATGTAAAACAAGGTCTCAGCATCGAGTGGCATTACTATCAAGTGGAATGAGTTACTTGATAGTAGCCAGCACAGGTTTGTCAAGAATAAGTCATGCCAGACCAACAATGGCCCCGGTCACACAAAGCATTAGCCACGCTAGAGAGACGGAAGATAGGCGGATTTTCCGGGCGCGATCTCATGGCCACATCTGGGAAGCGTAGAGCTCTCATGGCTCAACCTATGTGTAATGTATTCAGATGCTGCCCTGAATGCATGAGGATGAACGTAGAATCATCCCATAGAGAAGCTATGCTAAGCTTCAGACGTCGGCAAGGATTCGCGCCGAAAGTATTGTGTCCAATCACATTTGAACTATCTGTAGTGGGAACGCTTATGATTGGTCTGTTATGCGATCAACCTGATAGGTTGATGATTGTATAGTAGGTGTGGCTACATTAGCCCGGAATGTTTAAATACCGAACAGTGACAATGAAAGCTGGTTCGGGCTATCAGAGAAGTTGTACCGTGTCAGAGAAGTTGATCGTCGAGCTGAAATAAACCTGAGTTTTGCTGAAATCACTCTCTGGCTATTTTGTTAAGCACGGACTTAACACTAGGCTTCCCGCCGAAGATGCACGGCAAAAAAACTAGTACCTCGGAGGTACTAGTTTCCGGAAACCGCGGGGCAAGGGCGGGCGTCTGATTGCATTTTCAGTGCCATCCGGCGCCCGCCCATACCCCATTGCGAAAGGTTTTTCCCCCCCGAAGTCTCCAGAGATGCGCACAAGCACCCAACGGGGCATGTGCATACTTCAGGTTAAAAAAACAACAATACAACCCTGTTTGCCATGCCACACCACTTCTTTGGCGTGTCATGTGATCGGCACCTCCCCCCTAACCACGGGACCTTGACGGGACCGCAAGGGGACGCCTGATCGCACAGTCAAACGTTATTTCACTGCGCGGCAAACAGCCACGCCTTCCCCCCCCCCGCGATATCCGGCCCGTGTGACCAGGGCCTTATTTCCTTTTTTGACAGAGTTACTAAAATGGTTGACTCTGGTAATACTGTGAATATAGTGTATCTAGATTTCAGTAAAGTATTTGACAAAGTTTCTCATGATATCCTTGAGGATAAGCTGGTTAAGTGTGGGCTGGATGGTGCAACCATTGGAAGGATTCATGGTTGGTTGAAAAATCATACCCAATGAGTGCTCGTAAATGGCTCTGCGTCTACGTGGAGAGAAGTCTCGAATGGAGTGCCACAGGGCTCAGCCCTAGGCCTGGTATTGTTCAATGTTTTTATAAATGACCTGGAGGAAGACATAGAGGGAATGCTGAATGAATGAATTTTATTGTTACAGCGCATAGCCAGCAATATAAAACCTTAAAAAAATAAATTACAATAACCAGATGATAAAACTACCGAAAATACAACAGGGTTAAAAAGAGGCAACATTTGTACAATCGTTTTGATCACTAAAACCAAGCTTAAGAATACGACACATACATAACCTCTCTTTTCGGGGAAGTTTTTTGAATTTGCCCTCGAGGACTGCAGTGGGTAAGGCAGAGCATCTAGCCAAAGTATATGCCCTCCTAAGTTTATGTGACTCCAGCACGGCTAAATATGGGGCTTGTGCTGCGATGAATTTACTACTAATTGGCGCTATAAAGGTAGGAGTCGCCTGTAGATCCAATTGGCGTTCGGTGTCCATGATCCTCTGCCTAATTGCTAACTTAGCTCGATCGCCACCCATCTCCAAAAGCGCTTGTGGAGAATAACCCAAGAGCGAAATTTTCCGATAAACAGAAATCAGCCATTCGGATTTAAAGGCATCAGTCAGAATCAAGGGCACTAGGCCACACGGATTTAAATTAATCTTTAGCCAATAAAAGATAGAGTGTAAGGTAATCTTGGCTTCAACTTTCAGCATCCCGGTCTCTAGCCGTACCATTGCATTGGAGACGCACCTAGGAACTTGGAGCACTGCTCTCAAAAATTTCGATTGGACTAGCTCTAAGGGAGCATAGCAAGAGGAAGGCGCTCCAAGCATCGTCCCATAAAGCATCTGGGCTAGTGTTTTAGAGGGAATGCTTATAAAATTTGCTGATGACACGAAGCGGGGTGGGATTAATAATTCTGAAGAAGACAGAGTCAGGATTCAAAATGATCTAGACAGGCTGGAACAGTGGGCTGAGACAAATAAAATGAATTTCAATAGAGAGAAGTGCAAAGTCCTACACTAAGGTACAAAAAATCAAAGACACAGATATAGAATGGGAGGGACTTGGCTTGACAGCAGCACATGTGAAAGGGATCTAGGTGTTCTGGTTGATCACAAGCTAAACATGAGCCTGCAGTGTGATGTGGCTGAGAAGAAAGCTAATGCTATTTTAGGATGCATTAACAGGAACATTGTGTCCAGATCACGGGAAGCCATAGGTCTGCTCTATTCTGCTATGGTCAGGCCTCACCTGGTGTACTGTATCCAGTTTGGGGCACCACGTTTTAGGAAGGATGTTGACAACCTCGAGCATGTCCAGAAGAGGGCAACCAGGATGGTGAGAGGGTTAATATTCAAGTCTTATGAGGAAAAGCTGAAAGAGTTGGGTATGTTTAGCCTGGGAAAGAGAAGGCTTAGAGGGGACATGACTGCATTCTTCAAGTATTTGAAGGGCTGTCATATAGAAGATGGAGCAGATCTATTCTCTCTTGCTCCGGATTGCAAGATGAGATCTAATGGGTGGAAATTACAAGGGAGTTGTTACCGGCTAAATATCAGGAGAAACTTCCTAAATGTAAGAGTGGTTGAGCAGTGAAACAGTCTGCCTCAGGAGGTGGTGGCTGCTCCTTCGCTGGATGTTTTCAAGCAGAGGCTGGACGACCATCTTTCGGGTATGTTGCAGGTAAGTAGGGCTATTCTTCTGCAGAGGGCAGGGGGTTGGACTACTCTACTCTAACATTCTACGATTCTATCAGATGGAATAAGGAAAAGGAAAAAAAACAGGAAGAAAGGTGTGGAATGACATACTCAACTCACTTCCTCTCTTATAAGCAAATAAAATGGCCAAGGACACATTATTCTCATAGACTGAGGACTGGTGGAGGGAACTAGGAAATCGGGGATTCTATACTTTTTATACTTATCCTTTTAAGGAGCATGACCTCTCACACAAGAAAGGGAATATATGGAGAGATTTTATCAAAGCCTCTCTGACTGTTCACACAGAGCAAAAGGTGGGGCTGAAGGAGTCCTTTGCCCAGGTCTAGGTTCATTAGTGAGCAGAGCTCTTTATTTCATTTACAAAGGATTTCAGCAGTTGGGGTTGAAGCTTCCCGTGAAACTTGGCATCAGTCCAAGAGGTGATGGAATGGAGTCTAATATGGTCTCTGCAAGAAGACAAAGACGATAGGGGACTTTCATCCCTGTAGACTTGTTTATGGGTGGACTAGGAGGCCAGAACAGCTGTGGAAATAGAAACCTAGGAAGATGATGTAGTGGCTGCGGGGGGAACCATGGTGGTACCTTTTATAGCAAACATGTTTTCTTCTTCTCATCTGAGCACCCCAGTCCCTCTGTTCCAAAGTGGCTCAAACTTTACTGTGGCTTTCAGAGTTCCCTTGTTGAGCAAATACCATCCAAACAGTCGCTGCCCGAGAAGGTTTTTGTCGGATGATTAGAAACACCAAGCCCTTTTTCATTTATGTGGAGCACATTCCAAAGTATGCTTGCTTAGAAATCAATCCAGTGCAATAGAATACTTAGCTTTGTTAATTCCGTCTTCGTACTAACTGTCCTCTTTGATTCAGCTCAGGCCTCAACAGAATGATGTAGCATTTGGGGGAGAAGATACAGCCCAGTAACCCGGCACTGGAAGCCAAGATAGAGAAGACCTCCACAGCTACCATGTATTTCCCTTTGGTGCTCAGATAGGTTGGGACAAAACACAACCAAACACTGCAAAACATCAGCATGCTGAAGGTGATGAACTTGGCCTCATTAAATGTGTCTGGCAACTTCCGGGCTAGGAAAGCTACGGTCAAGCTGACGAGGGACAGAAATCCCAAGTAGCCCAAAACACTATAAAACATGATGGCAGACCCTTCTCTACATTGTGCTACCATCTGTGTATTCAGGGACTTCATGTCTAAATCTGGGTATGGAGGAGACATTCCGAGCCACAGCACACATATGCCTGCTTGAATAAGGGAGCAAAGAAGGACAATGGAGTTGGTTATTCTTTTCCCCACCCATTTCCTCATGCTGGACCCCGGTTTGGTGGCCATGAATGCGACAACCACAGTGATGGTTTTGGCCAAGACACAAGAAACAGCCACTGAGAAGATGATGCCAAAAGCAGATTGCTGGAGGAAGCAGGTCGCCTTGGTAGGTTGTCCAAGGAACAGCAAAGAAGAAATGAAGCAGAGGAAGAGAGAGACAAGGAGAGCGTAGGTGATATCCCGGTTGTTGGCTTTGACTATAGGGGTATCTCTGTGCTTAATAAAAATTGCCAGCACCCACACAGTGATTAGGGAAAAAGAAAGTGCAATTGAAGCTAAACAGATCCCTAGAGGTTCATCAGAAGACAGAAAGCTGATTGTCCTGGGAATGCACTGATCTTTGTCCTTGCTTGGGTACTGATCTTCTGGGCAATTTATACAGTCCTCCATATCTTTAAAAATAAAAAAAAGTTTAGTGCCAAAAGGTATGTTGGTCCAGTTACATCTGATGGTATACAAACCTGTCCAGTTTTCTTTCTTTCTTTCTTTCTTTCTTTCTTTCTTTCTTTCTTTCTTTCTTTCTTTCTTTCTCTCTCTCTCTCTCTCTCTCTTTCTCTCTCTCTCTCTCTTTCTCTCTCTCTCTCTCTCTCTTTCTCTCTCTCTCTTTCTCTCTTTCTGGTATTTTTTGCATTTTTCATGTGTGTGAGTGTGTCTGGAAGTCATACTGACTTCTGGTGACTGACTCCTACTGGGGCATGGAGGATCGTCAAAGAGGTGGCTGAATAAAGCCACACCCAACAGCAGGAACTCATTAGCCTATTAGGCCACACCCCTGACAGCACAGCACATTAACATATTAGGCTACACCCCCATGTTACCAGAAGTGTCGTCATCCAGCCACACCCACCTTTTGCTTCTTATTCTGTTTACCTTGTTTGTTGTCAAAACCCCGGGCTTTTTTTGTAGCACGAACTCCTTTGCATGTTAGGCCACACACCTCTAATGTAGCCAGTCCTAATGAGTTCCTGCTGTTCGGTGTGGCCTATTATGCTAATGAGGTCCTGCTGGGCGTGGTCAACTTGGGAGCCAGCCGGAACTCCGTTCCTGTGCGTTCCTGCCCAAAATTAGCCCTGTGTATATGCTACTTATTTGTTGTGCTTATGACATTGTTCATAATTTTTATTTAAACATTTTCAAATCATAAGAACATAAGAGACGCCAATGTTGGATCAGGCCAAAGGCCCATCCAGTCCAACACTCTGTGTCTCACAGTGGCCAGAAATACCAGTGCCATCAGGAGGTCTACCAGTGGGGCCAGGACATTAGAAGCCCTCCCACTGTTGACCCCCCCAAGCCCCAAGTATGTCTGCCAGAATTTTCATTTGTACATGCTACTTGTATCAAATTCTGGAAAAGCAAACAGAATCCCCCTCCCGGTAAATGAATAAACAAACACGCAGGGAGGTTGCACCCATAGGGTTATAAATGTGTGGGTTATGCAAGCCATTCTAAGATGGGCACTTGAGATACATGGATCAGCAAGGAGAAACTCTAATACGTATTGATGATCTTGTTTCTGCCTTGAGGCTCTCTTTTTGAATTTAGGATGATAGTAATCTTGTCTTCCTATCTGAAGAAGTGAGCAGTGACTCAAGAAAGTTCATACCCTGCCACATTTTTTTTTGTCTTTAATGTCCTACTGGACTCTTACTCTTTTCTGTTTCTATCCTAAAGTGAGTCTTGTTTCACAGTGGGTTGTAACCTCATCAAAAAAATTTCTTCCCCCTTCTCTTCCTCCTGCCTCATCACACCTACTCCATCTTCAGTCTTCAGTCATACCTTGTCAACCCTTAATCTTGCTCCCACAGGTGCTGTCATTTTGATATTGTTCAGGGCAGGGGTCATTTCATAGAAAAAGAAGGAGCTCATTAGCATAACTCATTAACATAACTTGTTTGCATATGATACACCCCCTAACATCAGTGGAAGTGTGTCAGAAGGCAACACCCACTGGTCAGGCTCCACTGAACTGTTTTGGATTGCTAGCTATTGGGGGGGGCATGCAGATCTGTCCTCACAGAGGAGAGCTTGTACTTGAATAAAACTTGGTCTTAAAGGTGCCACTGGACTGTTTTGGACCGGGGGGGCTCTGCAACTTACCTGGCTGCTTCTTGCTCTGACCCAGGGCTGCTGGGAGCAGGGGGTGGGGCTTGTTGCATGTGCCCGCCCCCTGGGCTCTTTACTGCTGGAGCTCCGCTCCTGTGCTCCCCTGCAGGAAATGAACCCTGGTGTTGTCGTCATAGTGGAGGCAGCCTTCCACTTCCTATTCCTTCTGTGTTAGGTGTTTCCTCTAACACTAGACCAATGTGATTCAAGGAGCTCAAAAGTACGCAGTAGAGCATGGGTGGCCAAACTGTGGCTTGGGAGCTCTTTCACACATAGCTGAAGGTGAGAGAGCCCTTGTCTCCCGGAACTTTTAAGGACAGTTGGTGTTAGTCACCAAAAGGATAACTACAAGAAGATCAAGGAACCAACTGTAAGATGAGTGGATTGTGTCATCACAGCCATCGGGAATTATGGTTTTTAGCACACTATTGAGCTGCATCGTTTAAATGATTTTAGAATTGTTTTGATTCAAATTAGTTGAGTTTTGTTGTAAATTGTGTATTGTTTTTATGTAAGCCGCCCTTAACTGGCTTCAGCTGGGAGGGCGGGGTAAAAAAAATCCAATAAATAAATAAATATTGTGCCGCTCCCATCAGGGCCGCTGGGGAAGGGAAGGCGAGGCATGTCTCCCCAACAGGTCTTCCCTTCCCCAGACAGTGTTCTCCTCCCTGGACAGGCTTGAATGGGGAGGGGGGAGCAGAGAAAGAAAGCAACTTAAACTTTAAATCCCCCTGGCCGGCTTGGAGAAAGCATTTGTCTCTTTAAATATCATTATCAATATCTGTTTTTTAACCCCTTTTGTTTTTATTTCTGGCCGTGTTTTTGATGTTAATGTTAATAAAAAAGCAAATCTGCATATTTCCCAATAAAAAAGTGTAATATTTCTTCATGTCTTGTGGGTCTCAGACATCTCCTGTTTCTTCAATGTGTTTCTTCAAAGTTAAGCAACTTTGGCCACCCCTGCAGTAGAGGAATATCTGGCAGACCCTGATGCTGGGAAAGATTGAAGGTCAAAGAAGACAGGGACGGCAAAGGATGAGATGGTTAGACAGTGTCATAGATGCAACGGACATGAAGTTGAGCAAACTTCAGAGGACTGCGGAAGACAGGATCTGGTCCATGGGGTCCATGGGGTCGCGAAGAGTCGGACTCGACTGTGCGACTGAACAACAACAACAACAGGGCAATGCACAAGCTGAAGTAAAGCTTAGGAGCCAAGCCAATGCTTCTGTTATTTTGTTTTAAATATAGGCTGGAAGAACCACGAATGTAGTTTCATGAGAAACTGGAACACTCAGATGGAGCACATGTCTGTGAAATGTCTTGCCGTCCTTCCCTACTGTCTCCTAAAGTGTGATTCGCACATGCATGGATTTCACTTGAGTTCTCCTTGCTTATGAATCTCAACCAATTGGTGGAATTGACACTTCTGAAAAGGACAGCATTTCTCAGATTATTATTTTTTTTACCGTTATGAGAAATTTGCCAAATTTCTAAATTGGATGACAGTGTCCATTGTCATTTGGACACATTCGTCAGTTACCACTTCAGAAATAAGTTCATATGCTGGAGTAACTGGGAAGCACTGCATTACCTACCTTTCTGGTTTGAAATCTTTCCCTCTGGGCAAGGAACACAATCATAGCAGCAGAATAGCTCCTTATCCCTCTTTTTCTTATGATAACCAGGATGGCAGCGATCATTGCACAGTGAAATCGGCACGACCTATCCAAAAGCAAGAAATTTCTTTAGGGCAGAACACTTTTTTAAAAAATAAATAAATAACTGACCGCGGCTATTGTAGTTTTGGGGAGTGGTATTTCTTTCCCCCTCCAAAAAAAATATTCAACTTTTTAACATATAATCATTGATTCCTCTTATTCTCTCTTTTAAAAAGATTATCCACTTGTTTTCTCTTTGATTTTTCCTTATATCTCTCTGTTATTCATGTATGCACCAGTGTTTCCTCAAAGCTGATTTAGTGTTAGCTAGTTCACAGTTTTTATCCTACGGCTCACACGTTTGTCTTAGCTAAGAAGGATGGTTCCAGAGCAAACTAATTTATGCAGTAGCCAAATTGCTCACTCACAACTTTAATGCCAGTAGCTCACAAAGTAGAACTTTGCTCACAAGACTCCACTGCTTAGAGGGAGCATTGGTATTTATTTATTTATTTGGATTAGTGTTAGCTAGTATGCACCTGTTTGTAACTTCAGCTCTTGCAGTTTTTTTGTTAAAGTGACAAATCACCAGGTGCTCTAGCAGGATGGTCGGAAGGTTTGGATGACATTGCCTAGCTCTCCTGAATGTAATTCTGGGCTCCTACAGAATCTCACGAACACAGACACATAACCACCGGAAGGTGCCTCACCACTGGTTCATCAAGTTCAGAATTTTCTACTCAGACTGGAGGTGGCTCTCCAGGATTTCTGGCAGAAGGTTATCTTATCACTTACTGCCCAGCTCTTTTAAATGGAGATTCCAGGGACTGAACTTGAGACCTTCTGCATCCAGAACAAATTTATTTTTATTTATTTATTTATTTTTCATATTTATACCCCGCCCTCCCCAGTGGGCTCAGGGCAACTTACAGGGGCAAGGAAACCTCGCCATAAAAAAAACATAGTATACACAATAGCTTAAAAACAATACAATACAGCTTAAAACATCCTAAAATTAGAACAGTGGTGCTCTTCCACTGAGCCACGGCACCTCCTGACAACCCCCCTACCTGTCCCTCCTGTCTTTGAATTTGCTAATCCTAGCAGGGCTTATTTCTAGGCTCTGACTTCACAAAATTTGATTAGCTCAGCTTAATGCCTTGTCCCTCAGAGTAGCATTTATATCCTAAGGTGTAAAATCATGGTTTCTTTGCAATGGAGTTGAAAATGGCTTATGGGGTAGGGGGAAGACATAGAAGAGAAAGAAAGTATACAACACACTCCTTTGGTCTCGTCCTGGAACCACTGGGCATCTGATTTATAGTCTCAGACTAACACACAGGGATCCTTTTTTTGTTCTTGCCTTCAGCTAGCACCAAAAGACTTGTACCTCCAGCCATGCAACTGTTGCATGAAGCTCAGGATGAGGGTTTTACCATAGGCAGCGATATTCTGGGGGGGGGGACTGATTCTTTCATAAACCAGCCAATTTTAAGTAAAGATACAAAATATAATTAACAATGTGTAGCCGTATAGAACATAAACAAAATTTGTTTAAAAATATAGGAGTAGAGATCGTCAACACTTTTATTGCTATATCCTTTTGCAAGTGAAACATGACCTTTGGTTCATAGCATAATCAGCTCATCCACAATAGTAATCCCGGTATGCGGAAAAGGAGATCCCCCAAGCTTGAATTACCCAGCGCAGTAATGGAGGAGCCTGTAAGAACATCCTAGAATACACACCTGGTTAAAGCGACTCTGCCACAGAATGCTGTTCTCATCAATGAGCAATTCTTTTCCTTCCAAATAATCGGGACCCACCTTTCCTATTTTCACTTTATTATAAGACTTGTTTGGGAATATGACCAAGTTCATGACATCAAAGCCACCTCCTATTTCTGTATTATAATTAAAAGACACTGTTTCTCCTGCCGAATTGTTAAATGAAATGCGTTGAAGATATTGGTGGAGCTAAACGGGGTGGAAAAAAAATGAAAAGATAACATCATGTTGGAGATTTCTGTTCTGAGTTATACAAACAGCTTTGTTTGCTGATAAAGTTCCAATTGGAAATCTCAATTAAGCAGAATTTTTTTCTGTTGTAGAAGGAAAAAAGGTACCACAAAAAGATCACTGGTGGTAGAGGTGAAAAACAGCAGGGCCAAAATAACAACTGCTTTGAAAAGAGAGAGCAAAGAGTGTCTCAAGGCACAGTAATCAATCAACTTCTTCCAGATCTTTGCAAAGAAGGGAAGAGCTATATAGATCGTTATCCCCTACTCTGTTCTACCCTTAAAGCAACCGCTTGAGATAGGTTTGACTGACAGCAAGTGATTAGCCCAAGTTCATACAGCAAGCTTCACGGTACCATCAGAATTTAAGCCCAGGTGTCCATAATATACTTTTAGTCCAGCATATACATTTCATGGACTCTAAACATGCAAGATCATGAATAGGGGTCCCATTGGCATGCTACATGATGCTTCCGTAGAAATGCAAAGTTGCTCAAAACATTTCTGACTTTCTATTCAAAACAAAACTTTAAAGTAATTAAACAAGAGGCTTCATTTTTTTTTTAAGGGAAAGTAATCCCAGATTAAACATAAACTGAAATGCTGGCTGTTTTTTGTTTGTTCTTATGACGTTTTCAACTTCCCTGATTTTTAAGCTTGACCAATTTATGAAATTTGGGTAAGAAATGTTTGAATTGATAATTAACAGGAAGTGACCATCCGTGTTGTTATCACCCCCCCCCCAAAAAAAAGATTAATGTGTACTAATTTCTGTCCATGAGTTTTGTGGAAAGTCTCACTGTGTACTGACATGTCCATGGTAATACAGATATTTTCAAGGTGTTACCTGCCAAGGCTGGTGGTCATGAAGGACATCTCTTTTGCCAACACCCACCATTGATTGGTGGTTGGCGTGAGATAGATACATGTCATGCAGGGTATGTGCTATGACATAGACTGCATTATAGATGCTATAGCTGTGGCCAGTCATCTGCATCTCAAAAACAGGTGAAGGAAGACTCTCCAGCTTCTCCTCTCCAGTACAGGTTCCATTAATCTGTGATGGTTCTTGGGAATGTGGAAGTGGACAGTCAAATGCTTGTTCCCAGAAATCCTTGAGAAAACTATTTCCTTGTATCAAAAAAGGGTTTATGTTTTTAATAAATTTCTGGAATCCTGGTAGCTCCTGTGAGTGAATTGAGAAGAAGATTGCACCCTGGAAGAATTCAAGACCCCAGGCCCTTTGAAGGCCCGTTAGTAGAAAATCAATCTGGGCTGTCATAATCCATACCCTTCTAAATGAAGTATTTTCCAGTAATTCGTGAGTACCTAGGTATAGAAATGTGGTCAGTGAAATAATGGTCCCAGTTTCTCCATAGAGGATAAGTATATTGGTTTTGCTAAATATTAAAGCTAGCTGAACTTCCGAAAACAAATTTATAGCGTTAAGAACGGTATTCCAGCGGCCTTGTATTACAATCTTTTCTGTGAAGGACACACAAATTCCACACTGGAAAAGCAACGGCTCCATTTCCCGTATGAAATGTTCTCCACTATCATCAGTTACGGAGAAAAGCCCAACCCACGTCCATCCAAAGTGCTGAAGTAACCGGACAATCCCTATGTACTGATGGGCTTCATTGGGAACCATGCGGTAAAAGGAAGGGGACTTAGCGTTGTCCCTGTCAACTGGGGAAAATGACCCATATGTGAGCTAAAAAGGAAACAAAGAGAAATGTTTGAAATACATTATCAGGTGCATCCACACCTGTTTAGCAATGAAGATTCTTATAACAAGCAATATGGTTTAATCTCTGAATGAGGGTTCTGAGGGGGGAATCCACTAAAAGCACTTTGTATCGCATGCCCACCACCATCCCATCTCCCACTTTGGAGCACATTTCCATTTGTCTTTACTTCTATGTCTACAAGACAAGATTTTATTTTATTTTCTTAGATAAGTGTCCTGATACTCTCACTTCCCAGACCAGTCCAGGAATGGAAGAGAGAGACTCAGAGACTGAAAGAATGAATTACACAGAACCCAGGAGAGGTAGTCTCTCTGGATTTACAGACACAGCCACCAGAACCTTTCAACTATAGTCCCTTCCAGTCCAAGAGAAGGTTCAGACTCTTAACTGGCCTCTGGACTTGTTACCATAAAGTAGCTTAACTGAGAGAGCGGTTTCAGGTGACAGGATTTAAGCTTGGAGTCAAAGGTACATCAATCAGTCACAAGGTATAAACAGAATAGTGTTTATTTATCAAAGAACTTGTAATCAAACTAGAAGAGATTATAAAATAATAACCTGGCAATGTTTTGCCTAACTACACGATAGAGCATATTTACCAACAGAAAGGTGGGTGAATAGTCCATAGTAAGAGTCCAAGATCTTGAGAAAGAGTAGCTCCATCCTTGTGGCACAGAGCCATGTGCTTCCTCACAAAGAATCCTTTGTCTGTCTCATCCCATGACAAAGACAGCATTCCAGGGTACAGGCAGGAACAGAGAGAGAGCAAGCCAAAAAAGTGAGCTCCTCTCTATGTGTTAGCCAATTTGAACCCCAATCTCATTATGATCAAATGTGGCCAGCAGCCAATCACAATGAGACAGGTACTTCCCAAATTTGGGGTTGTCATGGTAAATGGGTGGGGATGGGTTGGGTCTGGGACTCATCCTCTGCAGTAAGATGATACCCAGAGCCCCCTCCCATCCAGGAGCCTACGTGCATCTCTGCCATGCTCCAGCAGAGGCATTTGGTTTTATAGGGGGCAATTTGAGCAAATGGTCAGGCCTCGATGTTTAGTCATGCCGGCCACATGACCATGGAGAAGTCTTCAGTCAGCGCTGGCTCTTCTGCTTGGAAATGGAAATGAGCCCCGCCCCCTAGATTTGACAAGCTCTCAAGCAAGGGAAACCTTTACCTTTACCTTTACTTCTGAACCACTCCTAGTAAGAAAGGCATTTACATGTCAAACACTCTCCAATTTCTTAATGCATACAGCCTACCTGGGGAATCTTATAGAGAAGCAGAATGTCCACCATGTGAAAGGAAACATCAGAACCAAGTCCACCTATGATGGCCATTAGGTTCTTCTGGACGTCACATTCATAATTAGGAAAATATCTACGGAGTTTATAGAGAAGGTCCAGAGTGGTGTGGTAGGTCATCTTATCATCATTGTAAGTGTCATAGATGTGGAACCCAAGTGTGACATTAGGCAAGATCTTGGAATTCGTGTTGATTTCATCTACCGCAAATGCCAAGGCCAGAGGGTGCTGGTAAAACTTCATTGCCATACTTTAAAAATAAATAAATAAATGCTTTCTGAACCAAATGACTTAATAACATTTTAATAAACTCTGCTTCAAAGTTAATTATAAGGATATCATTTCAAGTTACTGAGATGTCTGAACATGATTTTCCCTTCTTCATCCCAAGCAGTTCCTGTTATGGATTAGAATACTATTTCTTTTCTAAAGAGTACTTTGAAATGCTAGAGGAATGATTCTAGGCAGGTCTACTCCAGAGTAAACTTAAGCTATTCAATGGGTTTTCCCATGAAAGTGTTTTAGGAAAAGCTTGTTTTGTGGACAGCACCATTTCTCGTATGTTTGTTTAGCATACTCCATCTATCATTTCCCAAAGTAAATTCTTGTCTCCATTTTCTTTCATTTTTCTCTTCTGATTATGGGTAGATCTGAGTCCAATAACACCTTAGCTACCAAAAAGACTTTTAGGGTATACGTTTTTGAGCTTCAGAGCTCCCTTCATCATTGACCAAGGGACGTTTGATTCTCCAGAAGTGTATACTCTGAAAGCCTTGTTGGTCCGTCGGGTCCAGCTCTTCTTCTGCAGACCGACACGGCTACCCTCTGAAAGTATCTTTTGATTACAGTACTTTACATTTATTCAAAAGTAAGTTATTTTATGTGTATCTATAAAATGTCTGTATCAAACTTTTTTCCCCAGCAGACTCAAGGCAGTTTAAAACATTTACTTGTGACCGTTTAGTGAATTTTTCTAAAGCCAACCAATATTTTCACTTTGATTCTCATTTATGTTAACTAAGCCAAACACTTCCTTCACCCACTTCATGCCTTTCAAGCATGGATTTCAGTCCTTGAAAGCAGATGCCAGCCAATGTTCCCTCTAAGCTGTGGAGTCTTGTGAGCAAAAAATCTCCTTTGTCAGCTACTGGCATTAAAGTGGCGAGCCAGTGATTTGGCTACTGCATCAATTAGTTTGCTCTGGAGCCTTCCTTCCTGAGCTAAGACAAAAACTGTGTGAGACGCAGGCTAAAAAACTGTAAGCTAGCTCACACCAACTCAGCTTAGAGGGAACACTGGATGCCACCATAGATGTGAGATCTTAAAGAGCCACCTACTTGTTGGGCTTGCTACACAGAGAAGGCAGTGACATATACCACATAGGGTGAATGATTCCCCCCCATTGCTTCTTGCTTACCTTAAATGTCCTTTTCTGGGGTCACCATAACTAAGCTGTGTCTTGGAGGTATTTTAAACGCTCAACATGTTGTTATCCTGATGCATTCCTGATTTCAGATTTTAAAAATGTGACTGTTACCACCATAAGAAAACAATGTATATGACATGTAGAGAGAGAAAACATTGGCACCCCATGTGGAATATATTGCTGTCTTCTCAATGAAGCAAAATCAAAAAGTAGGTAATGCTTTAAGATCTCATACCTTTAATGGCATCTGCATTCAGAAATCAGAATCCCTTTGACAGAGCCATGAAGTGGTGAAATAATTGTTTCGTATAATTCTTGAATGAGGAAGAAAGTATTGGCTGTCTTTGGGAAACTAAACAGTCAAGTAGTAATGTAGCACTTGATGTTACTCAGAAACAAGTGTGGGCATGCCGATATCATAGCTTTATTTTCAGTTCAAGGATCATTGCCTGAGAGATTCAACCAGAATACTACACAACACATTGATTCTATGGAGAGTGTTTGAGTAATCTAACATGTCACTATGGGAGACAAAATCATGTATGTGCTGCAAATCGATTGGTTCGATTCAGAAAGGAACTGAAAAAGGCAGTGTGCTGGACTGGATCTATTGTCCAGGTTCTTTCAGAAGTCTGAGAACAAATATAATGGCTTAGAATCACAATAAACATGAGAAAAATATAATTTAATTACTCTGCGTCTTCAAGGATCTCGTGAGAAGCATATTTCCAAAACTTTAGTTCATGTACGTGGTAAATGAACTGAGAAACAATACCACCGATGAGGATGTCTCCTGGCTGGTACCATTCATGAGGAATAGGGATCTCCTTTCGGGTGCACTGCATCCTATCAACTTTGCACACAGTGCAAGGCTGAAGCACCAGCAAAACTAGTAGCTTCACCATCTGCACAGAAACTCTTGTTTCTAAATCCTACCTCTTCTCTCTCTATCTTAATCAAGCTCTCTTAGACATTGGCTGAGTCTGATCATGTATGTCTAAAGGCAAATATATGGCTTTGTCTTATGAGTGCAGAGATTCAGAATGGCCGTGGTAGTGCCAACACTCTGGTTTCAAGTCCTCCTTTTAGCCAAGCAAAAGGTCAGAGATCCATGTGACAGAGTCTGTCTTCCAGAATTCAATTGCATGTGAGTATTGAGGTAATTGTTATTAAAACTGCTGCCTTAATATGTTTGCACTTTCTGAGACGCCACTGCAACCTTGACCAGATTGATAAATTACAATAATCTGGATAATTCCAATGGGAAATAAGTATGTCTACAGAGTTTGGGTTCTAAGTGGCAATGTTAGTAGTAAACATGTATTTCCCCCCACATCTGAGCACACAAGTCCCATCTGCTCCCAAATGGCTCAAACTTGATTCTGGCTTTCAGACTTCCCTGGTGAGCAAATACCATCCAGACAGTTACTGCCTATGAAGAAGCCCTTTGTTGGATGATCAGAAGCACTAGACCCTATTTCATTATTGTGGGGTGCTTTCTTAAGCATGCTTGCTTAGAAGTAAGTCCAGAACAATTCAATGGAATTCGGAGTGGAATCCTAAGCTGGTCCTGTTTAATGGGGTTTACTTGCCAAATTGCTTTTGACAATTAATAAAGATGGGGAATTATGATTATTAATGTGCAATTGGCATATAAGGGAGCAAAGCCTATGTATACAGAAGTCCCGCCTTTTCCAGTGAACCAAAAATAAACACTGAAGCCAAGTCTCAAAGAAACGGTTTCTTTACTGGGATGTTTTCAAGCATACAATAAAACACAATCACACACAATTATCCAGTCCTAAGAAATATAGATAGAAAAGGATGGCGACATTCACATTAGCTGGAGAATCGTTGAGGGGTGATACGTACCTGTCCTCGGCGAGATGAAGTGATCCACAGAAAAATAAGGGAGAGTATGAGGGAAAAATGGGATCGTATCTTGAGCCACCAGAATACGTGGAAAGACTCTTTGGCAGCTACTCCAGAGTCAGCAAAATAGGGCAAGGTTAGGTAAGGAGGCAGAGAGAGAGAGAGAGAGAGAGCATGGCTGGTCCTGCTCTTTTATACACTAATGGGTCTTGGGGGTGCCTTAGCTGGCCACTTTCTCGTCACGTCCCCTTGGTCAGTCCCAGGAAGTGGCTTACCAACAATCAATAACATGAGGGTGGTGGGGCTTAATGGCTGGGCAATATTGGTTTCTATTTCCTCTTAACAGTGGCACCTTTGAGAACAATAGCTGAGGCGGCCAGAGTCATTGTCATCGATGGACCACTGATGGCTCCAGGTGATGGGTTTAGCTGGTACATGTCAGCCCTCTAATCCTCTCATGGCTGTGGACCCTTTGTCATGCTAGATTGCCTATGTGCAATGTTAGGTGAAGGCGGGGAGGAGGGAAGGTACCTGCATGCCAGAGAAGATGCTAGCTCATGTAGTCTCTTGTTCAAGATCTCTGGTCTCATGGCTGGCATGGTGTCCATTTAAACAGCAAATGGTTACTGGCTTTGTTGTGCTTCATGGGGCTAGGGAGCTTGGTTCTCTTCCTGCTGCACTGCAGGTAAGACATGACAGGTAACTCCAGGAACCATTGGCACATCATCTCAGGAGAAGATTTCCCTCTGCTGTGTGCATGTCTGCAGTTGGCATCAGCTTAGGTCACCACGCAGTCCATTCCCTTTTGCACATTTACTGCACAGTCCAGTTTTTGTTTTATGATTTGCTTTTTATTTTAACCAACTGTCTTACACTTAACCTTTTCTTCTTTTTTTTTTAATATAATTTTTATTGAATTTTTTAACATAAGAAAACACACAAAACACATACAGAAATACCCCTCCACCCACCAACCTCATCCAAAAAAACTTGATATTCCCCTACCACCATAATACTTAAATTCTAACTACATGTCATACTTCTGACTACCGATGAATTCATTCTCCTAATCTGTATTTATTATCCAACCATCTGTTTCATCACATGCAATTTATTTTTTATTCCTGTTGGGATTTCAATATCTATATTTCATCTCTAGTTATATTTTAACTCAATCAATAATTTTACTCAATCAATCACAAGCACTAGGATCTCCAAATGTTATCTACTAGAGCCAAATATTGATTTGCTTTTATACCAAACTTATAACTTTGTCTCCAAAAGTACGATTATAGACACAGAAAAGAAAATTATATTATTATTATTATTCAGCCTCACAATAAAAATTAATTGGCTCCCCTGATCTATGATGGGGCCGGTATGAACTTATAGACTGTCAGAGACATCCCCTATGGCAATAAGCTGTTCCTTTCCTACATTAAATCTACTCTTAAAGCCCCGGTCACTCACTCAACTAAAAATTTCTAAACATATTTCACTATAGAGAACATCTTTCTACCGTTTCCCATATCCATATTTCTTAAACTTATACTGCAAAACATCAAACTTATCAGTTTAAACAATATAGCATAGCTTCACAGGAAGACATCCTTGAACAGTCTTTCTGTCCTTATTTTCCCATAAGGGATCACCCTCTACTAAGAACCTTCGTCTTGTCTCTTCTTTTCTATTTTGATTTTCTTTGTTTTCCATTATATGTCTTTGATCTTTGTACTCATTGTCTTTTCCCTGTGTCCTTATGCTCCCATTCAGGGGTTTAAAGTTAAGGTCCTTCGGTTTCTTTGAGCCCTTTTTTGCTTTTTTCCTTCTCTTTCTCCACTTCCTGTCTTTCTTACTCAGCGTGTTTGACACATCTACGTTTCTGTCCATTCTTATTTTTCCGCTTTCTCTGTCTCCCATCCTGTTCGTGGCATCCATCTCCTGT